CACACACACACACACACACACACACACACACACACACACACACAGAGTTAGAAAGAATACCATCTATGCTATTGTTCATTGTAAGAACACAGAGCAAAGACTTTGCAAACACTAAAAGAAGCAAACACTAATAAATTACCAGTCATAGTTAATAGCTACTTTCAGCTGCTCCTTGTCATAGGGGGTCAAAATGGCAGGTCACTCCACATGTTTGATTGGGAAGTTTAATATTCATGTTCATATGGTTCATATGAACATCACAGAACATAGTTTACATTAGCGTAATACATGTTTCCGGCCACCTCATGACTGCAACACACTCATCACCGTATCCTGGCTATTACCCCCAGCAGCTAATAAAAAATATCTAACTCCAGTAACCCCAAATTTGGATCATTTTCTGAGCAGTGGCAAATATGAGTGGTAATAACTGGATGCTGGTGGGCTTTGAGATCAAGCAGTTATCCAATTACAATAAATCTAATCTAAAATAATTTATGAAGTCCTGTCATTTTAGAACAACCTGTTTTCTTTTAGCTGTTTTCTTTTCTTTTGGTTTTCTCAATATATGTATGGGTTTCTCTTTTGTACTAAGAAAGATAAGAAGTAAATGGTAAATGTTATGGATTAAGGTTAAACTCCCAGAAAAAGGTTAATAGTTGACAACACAATGCACAATCTTTCAAGTTCATAATACACATTCTTCCACTGTGCCCTTTAGTCTGTTTTCCACCTGCCGTAGTTAAACATAAAATCACTGATATCTCCTGTTTTTGTGGTTTTGGTTCTCATATGTCTCACTGTGTTGGTGTTCTAACCAGACTGTTGCTCAATAGTTGGACATGCAACGAGGAGAAGAGAGGAAAGGCTGAGGGTAGAGTCAAGGAGCTTTAAGCCTGGGTGGAGTGCAAACTTCCAGCCTGATAAGAAAGGTGAGAGGTAAACATTGACCTGAGTCATATCACTGCTTGTCCAAGTCCATCTTTTACTAGAGAAACTATGCAAACAGCAAGGATGCATTGATAACTCTCTTTCACTCCAAATAGTAAACTTTAAGTATGGTCTGATTATGAGAACTAGACCCCTAGAGCCTACCTTTTGTTTTGTTC